TTTTTTATTATTATTACTATCTAAGTTCTATGATGTACTTTTGAACGCATTTATGTTTTGGAATAAAAAAGAGCTCTTTATTTAATTTGTTGTTTTATTTGGCCGAATCAAATATTGTCTACGTATTTGTATCACGAAATTAGGTCTCGCGTAGTTCTTGTGCAACTACAATTTATTTTTATTTCTTGTTTTTCTTTAATCCTACTTATAGGATTAAATGAAAAATTAATCAAACTTTGTTTAATAGTTTAAATCAAAGTTTAATTTTTGTTTTCCAAATATATATAAGAGAATTGAATACTCCTTTTGTTTTATCGTTAGTAAAACCGTAATTGATTTTCTTCAAGCGTAAAACTTAAGGTCCGCAATTCGTCATCAAGTGGCGTGTGCAACAATGGGAGTCGCGCGTGCGGCATCCTGGCACAACCTTGTGAGTTGCGCGCGGCACCTGTGCTGCGAGTGTTTCGCTTTTTTGTTTTTTATTACCAAGGTTTAAAACGAGTGAAAAAAAAATATTTTTTTTGATATCTTATTTACCCCCCCCCCCCCCAAGTGTGAGGAATTTTTTCATGGAGTTCGAAAAAATCCGAACACTTGAATGGCTCGTTTCGATTGAATCTTTTCTTTTTTTTTTTCGTCTACCCCCCCAAGTGTTATGAATTTTACCGTGGAGTTTAAAATTTATAGCACTTAGAATCTTTTATTTGAATGCTATGAAATTCGATTTAGAATATTTGAGTGAACGAGATTATCCGAAATTTATATGTAATATTTTTTGAGACGATCAACGTTTATTAGTTGACGAATTTCATCGCCACCAATATCCATTAATTTAACTGCCCTTCCTGATAGAATTTCTATTACGTGGTATGGTCCTTACCAATTAGGTTTGAATTTCCCTCGTGGATTTGGAGGACCTCTAACCTCTTTTAGTGCAAAGTCACCTTCTTTAATATTACGGGGACGTACCCGTTTGTTAAAATTTCGCGCAATGTGTTGTTGGTAGACTTGTACATGATGCAAAGCTTTTAATCGCCGTTCATCGAGGAATAAAAGCTTTTCATACCTTGCTCGTACCCATTCGGCTTCTGGTAGCTTACTTTTGAGTACGATGCGTAGGTTGGTATTTCCAGTTCAATTGGTTGAACTGCATCCATGCGGAAAACTAAGGAGTATAGAGTTACTCCTATTGAAGTTCGTATGGACGTTCTATAACCCCAAAGAGCAAAGTGTAGTTTATTCGGCTAGTCTTTACAATGTTCTGCCATTTTCTTAATGATGACTGCTATATTTTTATTTGTTGATTCTACTGCTTCATTCATTTGATGTCAATATAGGGAAGAATGGTGATGTTTTACTTTGTAACGAGCCAAGAGGGATTCAACTTCCGCTTTGAATTGAGATCCCTGGTCACTAATTAGTTCGTGTGGAACTCCATATCTACAAAATATGTTTCGTTCGAGAAACTTTGCGACATGTTTAGAAGTGATATTAATAAGAGGCGGCCTTGATCCACTTAATGAAGTAGTCGATGGCTACTAATACGTACTCGTGTCCTCCCGTTCATGTTGGAGAACTTTTTCCAATAATGTCAATTCCCCAAGTCGAGAATGGCCAAGGGGAAGTGAGGTTATATAGTTTAGATGGTGGAAGGTGTTGTAGGTTAGCAAACATTTAGCACTCTGGACATTTCTTAACATATTGAATGTTGTCATGTTCCACTGTGGTCCAAAAGTACCCTAAACATGAGATTATTTTAGCGAGCATTTTTCCATTCATGTGAGGTCTACAAACACCTTTGTGAGTATCCTCCATAAGGCGTGTGGACTCGGGTTGGTCTGTACATAATAAGCTTTGACCATTTGGCCCTTTTTTACACAATCGACCATTAACCATCCCATAATGGGCTGCGAGCGTTCTTAAGGCACGCTGATCTTTAGATAAAGTATTTGCAGGATATGTGCCATGAGTAATATATTGGAGGATATGATCATACCAGGGATTTCCCCCTTCGATGTCATTTAATTCCTCTATTGCGTTGCAATAAGCTAGTTCATCTCTTCTTTCAACGCATAATGGCATCATATTTAATTGGTCAGGAATGTTGATCATTGAGGCTAATTTTGCTAGCGCATCTGCAAATTGATTTTAATCCCTTGGGAGATATTTAAAATCAATATAATCAAATTGCTCGATGAGTTACTCTAGGTGTGCTTGGTATAATATCATTGTGGAGTTTTTGATTATCCATTTTTTGAGTATATGATGTATTATTAGATTGGAATCTCCATATACCTCTAATTTTTGCACACCTATGCTAGCTGCTGCTTCTAATCCAACAATACACGCTTCACATTCCGCGGCATTATTAGTAGCCTCAAAGTCTAGTTTAGCAGAGATTGGAGTATGTGCTCCCTCTGGACTTATGAGTAACACTCCTACGCCACACCCCTTTTGGTTGGATGCGCCGTCGAAGTACATTACCCATTTGTCATCCTGTGTCATGAGAATTTCCTCATCCGAAAGATGAGTGGTTTCTTCATGACTTGTTCGAATGGGATGTTGAGCTAGAAAATCGGATATTACCTTTCCTTTTATTGATTTTTAAGGAATATATTTGAGGTCAAATTGGGCCAACATCACCAACCACTTGGATATTCTTCCTTGTATGGGTGGTTGTTCAAACAAATACTTTATGAGATTGTATTAAGAATCACATGAGTGGTGAGGGGAAGCATATAATGTCGTAGATTTTTAGGTTCCCACACTAATGCTAAACACGTTTTTTCTAGAATGCCATATCTTGTTTCATATTGTATAAACTTTTTACTAATGTAGTATATTACACATTCTATTTTATCTACCTCTTGTGCGAGCATGGCTCCTGTGGCCGTGTCCGTGACAGTGATATAAAGTCTAAGAGGTAGTTTGGGTACTGGTGGTGCTAAAACTGGAGGACTTTTGAGTTAGCTTTTTACTTTCTCAAAGGCCTCTTGGCATTGGTCATCCCATTCGTGTTTTTCTTCTTTTTTCAATTTTTTGAATATTGGCACACAAGTCATTGTCAACTTACTAATGAATCGACTAATGTACTGTAGTTTGCCAAGAAACCCCCTAATTTTTTTTGGTTTGTGGGGGAGGCATGTCAACAATTGCCTTTATCTTCGAGGGATCGATCTCAATGCCACGTGTGCTTACTACATATCCGAGTAACTTGCCGGAAATTACCCCGAAAGCGCATTTTTGTGGGATTAATCTCATCTTGTGCTCTTTAATTCGAGTGAAGAATTTGCATAAAGCTTTTGTATGACCTATTCTATCTTTGGATTTTACGATCTATTATCCACATATTCCTCTATTTCTTTGTGTATCATATCATGTAAGAGAGTCGTAGCCGTTCTTAAGTATGTAGCTCCTGCATTTTTAAGACCAAATGGCATGACTGTGTAGCAATAAGTACCCCAAGGGGGTAATAAAGCATGTCTTTTCTTCATCTTCTTTTGCCATTAGAATTTGGTTGTAACATGCGTATCCATCCATGAAGGATAACATCGCGTGTTCAGCCGTATTATCCACCAATATATCAATATGTGGTAGAGGGAAATCGTCTTTGGGACTAGCTTTATTAAGGTCCCTAAAGTGGACACATATGCAAACTCGTCCATCCTTTTTAGGGACTGGGACGATGTTTGCTACCCATTCTGGGTAATTACATACGCGAATGAAACCTACGTCCAATTGTTTGCTTACTTCTTCTTTTATTTTTAAAGCAACGTCAGGTTTCATTCGTCGAAGTTTTTGTTTTACTGGTTTAGACATAGGGTTCAAGGGAATATTATGTTCCGCGATTTCCATATTTATTCCAGGCATGTCCTTGTATGACCAAGCGAACACGTCTTCGAATTCTTTGAGCGTCGATATGAGGATAGATCGCTCTTTCGGATTTAAAGTTAAACCAATTTGGACTTCTTTCTTGTTTTCATTTGTTCCTACATTGATCGTTGCAGTTTCTTTGATCACATGATTCTTTTGTTCTCGTTCATTCATTAATTCAATCAATTTATTAATATCATTTTCGACACCTGATTGTGTCTCCCCAAAAACCAAACCCAGTGATGAGTATCTTTCATGTCTTTGATTATCAAGTTCGGTAAAGAGTTGAAGAGTCACGTAAAGTTCCCTTAAGCCTTGACCCTATTCTAACCTTGCCCAAAATGTTTTAATCCCAAAATCTTTCATTTCGTGTCCTCAAAATCATTCATTTCGTGTCTAAACCTTAAAAACGTCCAAACTAGTATATTTTGGTCCACAATCCTGGTCCAATTATTGTTTAGTTGGATGGGTTTTGAAAAGAGCTTTTTAACGATATATTATAAGCCTAAATCCGACTTATAACGTATAAGTTATGGCCAAAATACTAAACTGTGCCCAAACCGGACTAAGGTCCATCTTACCTACGACTCAATGATCATGTGGAAGGTCCAATACCTTAATCCCAATCCTAAACCCATTAGGATTCATTAGGAGCTTCTAGAATCCTCTAGAAGATTCTAATTTATCTTTTCCCTAAAAGATTTTGTTTTTTGTTTTTTTTTTTTTGACAAAAGCAAAGGAAATAAAATAAAAAACTACAGCAAAGAAGTGCAATCTATCCGACATTTCCTAGCAATGTCGTTAGCTCGTTGAACCTGATCCCTATTAACTTTTAAAATTGTGCATCTTTGAAACGAAGCTCCGACTATTCTTAACTCTTTTAGCAGCCAATAAATCGAGATTTCCTTCCCCTGTTGATCTTGTAAATTATTCAGAAGAGAGATGGAGTCAGATAAGAGAAGGATTCCCTGTTTCCCTTTAGCCCAAGCCCACTTCATAGCTTCAAGACAAGCCCATACCTCACATTGGATGACTGATGTTGTAGTACCATATTTCCCCCCTTCATCCCTGGCAACACCATGTATATAATTCTTTACTGCCCATCCTACCCCTGATCTCATTGTGTTCTAATCCCAGGAGCCATCGGCTTCCACTATGAAATTGTCAAAACCAAGTTTTTCCTTTCCTAGCTGAACATAGTTGAAACCCGGGGGGATAATGGGATTATCCTTGCTGGCAACCTCCCTCTCGTCTGCTAAACTTCCTTGTTGCCCGAAGATCTCATGATCCTCCATTGCAAGCTTTATGGACTCCACTACCAGACTACTTGTCCCTGTGGACCCATTAAAGCATACTGCATTTCTCATTTTCCATATACTCCATAGTGAAGCTATGAACAAAACACTACGATTACTATTCTTCCTATCCTCGCTATTAAAGAGCAGGATATAGTGTTGGATCCATCTCCTCAAAGAAGAAGAAGACCCAAGTATGTCAGGGCAAATGGTTAGGGAGCTATTCTCCCAAACTTCCTTTGTTAGATTACAAAATCTAAACAGATGTAGGCTATCTTCTAAAGCCAACCCACAGTAGTCACACTCAGTTTCAACTTGTATCCCTCGTCTAGCTAGATTACCTTTCACTGCTATTCCATCATGAAACAGCTTCCACAGGAAACTTTCCACTTCGGTTGAATGTTCATTCTCCAAACCAGCTTTACAAACTCTAGATCCCTATTCAAAGACGAAGTGCTTTCCATTCCTCCATCCTTTGATAGGTAGTAATACCCAGTTTTAACGGTGTATTTGCCAGAGGGGTGATATTTCCAGTAGAGGAAATCCTCTTCAGTTGAAAGAGGGAGCTCCATTGCCAGGATCGCTTTTGCACTATTCCACTCAAAACACTCCCTTATCCTTCCTGCATTCCAAGTTAAAGTATCACCGTTAATGAAATCACTTACTTTCCAATTCAAAGCTGCCCTTAGAATAATACCATCCTTAACTAGAGGGATTTCCCCTTTAACCCACGGCATGCTGAGAGCCCTAATGCTTTCTCCATTTCCCACTTTCCACGCAAAACCCTTCTTGAAGGATTGAGCCACTTTCTGTATACTTGACCTCCCCACGGAAGGATTCCCTTGTCTTCTATAAGGACTAGCAATATGGCATATACTACATTGTTGAAACCCTCTATGTACTCTTACTAGCAGAAGCTGAGGGTTTAGGTGCATCCTCGTTGCTTGCTTGAATAGAAGAGCGTCGTTAAGATTCGAAATACCCCTTATTCCTAGCCCTCCCATACTCTTCGGAAGTTGGATGAGACTTCTACTCACCCAGTGCAACCCCTTATTCCCATTACCAGCCCACCAGAACCGAGCAATTAGGGAGTCAATTTTGTTTGCGATACTCTGGGGAAGTTTCATACATTTCATAACATGCGCAAACATGCCTACCAAAACCGTATTAATGAGGATTAACTTTGTTGACTAGGATAGATATAAGGGGGCCCACGAGATGATTCTTTCCGCCACTTTGTCAACCAGGAACTGGAAGGAGGAACTCTTTTTCCCCCTAATATCAATAGGGGCACCCAGATGAATCCCCATATTCTCAGTCTCTGGCATAGAGAGAACCTGTTTTATAGCTAATTTTTCCACAGAGGCAACACCCGGAGAAAACTTTATAACAGACTTCTGGAGATTTAATTGTTGACCAGAAGCTTTCCCAAACCTAGAAAGAATGTCCGCTATACACAAACATGATTCTTTATTTGCCTTGAAGAAAAGCATAGCATCATCTGCGAAGAAAAGGTGAGAGATCGATGGGGATCTTCGCGAGACTTTCAGACCCTTAATAAGCTTGATATCTTCTGCCAAAGATAACATTCTTGACAAGATATCCATACAGAAAATAAATAGGTACGGGGAGAGAGGGTCCCCCTGTCTCAGACCACAATGCGGAACAAAAGGATTAGTAGCCTTCCTATTAATGATTGTTTTGAAACTCACCGTTGAGACAACACTGTGATATCATCCATATCCAGTGATTTGAGAACCCAAACGCTTGCAAAACTTTCAGAAGAAAGAGCCAGTCCACTTTATCATAAGCTTTTGACATATCAATCTTAATTGCTGTAAAATTAGAACCCTTCCTTGAATTAATAAGGTGCATAAGTTCATGACTCAACAGAATATTATCTTCCATATACCTTCCTGGTATAAAAGCATGCTGGTTTTCCGAAATAAGGCTTGGGAGAATCGGCTTGAGCCTATTAACCAAGCATTTGAAAATGCACTTGTAGATCGTGTTGCATAAACTAATAGGTCTAAATTGACTTGCCAGCTCTGGGGTCTTAACTTTTGGAATCAAAACTAGCAGTGACTGGTTCCATTCTTTGAGCATATTTCCTGTTCTCAGGAATTGTTTTACAACTATCGATCACCAGCTGGCCTACTTCATACCAGTAGGTTTTAAAAAAATCCACGGTAAAACCATCGGGGCCAGGAGATTTGGAACAGTGCATCTTGAACAAAGCCTGTTTAATCTCCCCCTTAGTAAAATCCCTATCGAGCCAGATTTTATCCTCATCCCTGAGCACTGGAATATCAAGTTGCCTAAGCAACAGGTCGATATCTTCCCCATGAGAATCATTTATGACTGGGTTGTAGACATCCTTTATTGAGGTTAAGATTAACTCTTCCACCTCCTTTTGCCCCTCTACCCACGTGTCATTCCCAGTCTTCAGCGTCAAAATCTCGTTGTGTAACTGTCTTTGTTTTACCTTCCTATACATTGTTGGCGTTGGGCAATCCCCTAGTCTCACCCAATTCGCCTTCATTCTTTGCTTCCAAAACCTAAAACACAATTGGCTTTCAGGCAGAAGCATGTTAATATGCTTAATATACCCTTCTCCTTCCTTAAGCGAGGTTATGTTCATCCCTGTGCTTTGAAGATCCTTAGTTATCTTTTTCCAGTTGATCCCCCATACCTTCTTATTTTCCAAGCACCAATGTTGTAGGTTTGACCTTAGTTTAACCAGCTTCCTAGAAAGCTGGAACATGTACGAACCCTGATACTCCTCCTTCCATACACATTCCACTATTCCTCTGATTTCCGGAAAATTGAGACACCAATTCTCAATTTGATAAGGTCTATTAGAAGTGGTAGAACTAGGCTGATCTTGATAAGTGATTGCCGCATGATCGGAGCAAACAATTGGTTCATGAAAAATTCTCCCATTCGGGGAATGAGCAAACCATTCCTCTGTAATGTAGGCACGATCAAGCCTTTCTAGAATAAGGTCTTCTCCCTCCCTTTTATTACTCCAGGTAAATCGTGGCCCCGAAAAAGGAACTTCCGTCACATTGCTGCTGAACCTCCAATCTAGGAAGGCATCGACTCCTCTTATTCGGACCGAGCCCCCTAGCTTATCACTCCCACTTTCAACTTGATTAAAATCTCCTATGACTAGAACATTTTTGTACTCTTCTAAAAACCATTGAAGTTGCTCCCGAATAATTTTCCTATTTTCTACTTGAGGCTCACCATAAAAGAAAAGTACATATTTCATACTTCCATTCATATTGATCATTCTACAAAAGATAAAATTTTTTGATGAGTACATGCATTCAACTTTATCACTAGACCAACTTAAAACTAAAAGGCCCCCGCTACTACCATCCGAATCCCACCCAAAAGCGGTAGTAGGGTTAATAGCACTTAATCTAGCTGCCGCACAAGCAAATTTCATTTTAGTTTCTGAAATAAATAAAAACATAGGTAACTTCATTTGAAAGATCCATACTAGGTAGGGAATTGTAGGCGAGTATGGATCATTGAGACCCCTACAATTCCACGCCACTATCTTCATCTATCCATTGGGGGCTAACTTGGTGCAGGCTCCTCACCACCCGACGATAACCTCATCAAGTTCATAACAGGTAACTGAAGGTCGATATCCATGTCGTCCCTAACTTCCCTCAAGACCGAAGTAACCTCCTCACTCTTTTGCCGTTTAAAGGACTCTGTTGAAGAAGAAGAATTTCCTTGGGGTCTTTTGTTCTTGCCCCTCCTACAAAGGTCTCCATCAACCTCCACTCCAAGTTCACGAGCCATATCGGGATCTGAAATCGCCTTGGAAGCAAACTTACGATCTCCTCCTTTATCCTTAAGCCAAATCGAAACTGAATTTGATAAGGATTAAAGAATTTGATATTGAATAAAATATCTCTTTTTTAATAATCCAATCCCGGTCAAAACTGAATTTCGTGCCTCATAATTTTTATCCAAATATTGGATGGTTGGATAGCCCTTGAAATTATATTTCCTAGATATTATAATCCTAATTTCGATTGGAAACAAAAAAGATATGATTAAAATACCAAACTCTATCCAAAACTGACACTATTCCACTATTTCAATAATATCTTAAATTCTACAAAAGATATCAATTTTATTCTAATTGGGTTGGAAAGTAGACTTTCAGAGATTTCCAACAATATATTATTTATTTTATTCCGATTTCTGGATCAAAAGTTATGATAAAAATTAAAACCGCAAAACAGCAGGACCATCGCACCGCGATAGTTCCATCGCGCTGCGATGGACCTGGCGCGCCACGATAAAATGAGTTTTATTCCGATTCGAATTCTGACTCTTTTCTGATCCTTTGACTCTCTTTTTTCCTATAATAGAGGTCGTTTTCCCCCGCTTCAGATCACCAACAATCATCATCATCACCTCTAATATTCTTAATCATCCCTTCTTTCTCTTCTCCCATGTTCTTAGCCAAGCCTAAACACATCCTTGGTACTTTCCCCAATCAAACACCATGCTTCCTTTGCGAGATTCGAATATGTTTTGTCCTCCTCGTTGTTGCCTTCGACCTCGACGTGAAAGGTTGATAGTTCTGAGGGTTTGGTCCCAAATCTATATTTCAATTCATATTTGATTTATTTACTTTGTTGATTTAATCTTTCTTGAAGTTACTAACGGGTTTATTGTTTTAATAGAGAGAAGGGAGGAGCATCAACGTAAGTAATTCAGTTACTTGATCCTTGGTTTTAGAGTAGAAATCACGTTTAGCATATTATTTTAATTCCTAGTATCATGTTAGAATATTATTATGATTCCTAGTATCATGTTAGGATGTTTTTATGATTTCTAATATCATGATTAGGATGTTGATTTTGATTAATAGTATCATGTTTAGGATCTTTGATTATGATTTTTATTAGTGACATGCTAGGATTTGTTATTAATCCGTTTAGTATCATGCCTAGGATCTTACTAATTATGTTTTAATGATTTTGATTATGATGATGATTGTTGTGTCAATTAATCATGTGTTGCTTGATTATTCATGATTTATTGCTATTGCTTGATCACGCCCCTTCTTGCAGGTTTAAAGGGAATTTGTATTTGAAATCACGGCTAATAAGATAATTAATAATTTGATTTTAGGCTAATATGATTTTAATTCAAGTGATCACCAATAATAGATTTGATTGTGCATTAATAATCAACCAACGTAGATTAAACAAGTTTAGGATAAATTGATGTATGTATGTTGATCAGAAAGTGCACATGAATATCATAAGAATTAAGTAGAGGCCGATTTAGGGCGGGTTCAATCTCTTTTAGGTTGGATTCGTACCATCATCCCCGAATATCCAGTCATGGTTTTGGACCACTATGGAGTTAACGATCTCCGTGATCGTGAATGGGGTGTAACCTTCACACCTGTGGACGGTTTACAAGTTCCTAAAACTTGTTGGCGACTCTTCTATCTCTAGCTTCCTTCCCTTGGAGCGCCGCCATGCCCAAAAGCATGAACACAGTGGGGCTCAAAAGGTTGAGTTTGAAAAATTCCTTACAATCATCATCTTCGTTGGATTGATTGTTATAGCATTCAAAAGATTCAAGAGAAGGCATATACTCAGAAATAGAGCTCATCTTATTGAAATCAAAAGAAAGTACATCAAGAGAGGAATCCTTTTTAGGATCCTCGTCCTTAGAACTAGAAAGCAAAGACTCAGTAATGGCCACAATGCCTATGGTAATTTCCAACTTGTCACCTTTGTGGTTAGTCCATTTGAAGGTCTTCCTCCATCCATGCTCAGAGGTATTATTGAAAGGGGTTATCAATGAAGTAGAGTAGAACGCTTCATCTTGGATATCATTTTAATTGGTTATGATAGCAACATGGTTTTGCTCTAGTACAAATATCAAGTTAAAGGCTTGCCTATCATATATAGCACCCTGGAGTTGGGTGTTTTGCTTGAGTGACACTTAAGTCATCATTCAAGAAGTAGCAATCATGAAAAATCTTGAATCCAAGCTTCTTGATACCTTCAAGAACTAGTGGTTCTGGAAAGTCATAGCATGGGTAATTTTCTCCCTCCTTAATGAATTGTCCATTAAGGGTTTGATTGTAAGATGGGAGTAAAGAAATTATCCCTTTTTTATTGTTGTTCCTACGTGCCCTTATCTTGGCATCGTGAGCTTCAAGTTCTTCCTTGGTTGGCTTATACCCCAATCCAAAGGAGAAGCTTTTGTTTAGGATAGGAAGTAAGATAGATTTCTTCATTCCTATTCTCAAAGGCATCCCAAGAAAGTAAATACTCTTGAATAAGATGTTGTTTACTATTGGGGTGGAATATGGATCAAGATTGAAAGGGACTTCATCCATTTCTAATGTGCAGATAGCCTCCGCGGCGAATCCCCACATATCTTCTTCATCATTGTCATGATTTATCTCTAAAAGAGATTGATCGTTTATTACGACTTTTAGAAGAGAAGCATGTATGTATAGTCATAGGAAGACCTTTATAGTTCAACCTAATCATTTGATGGATCGAAGATGGTATTGCTCCAAGTTCATGTATCCAAGGACGTCCAAGAAGAAGGTTGAATGTAGGTTTTATGTCCATGACATGGAATTCAACCATCTTTTGTATTGGGCCTGTGGTAATTGGTAGCTTAATAGTTCCACACACCGATCTCCTTGAATTGTCATAGGATTTAATGCTTTGTGTTGTTGCATGAAAATCTTTCTCTGGGTTTAGGCCTAAATATTTCACGGTTTGTAATGGGCACACATTAATGGCGGACCCATTATCAACTAAAGTAAGTGGGATGTGTATCCCTTGCACCCCACAGTTAGATATAACGTAATATTGTGGGTGGTGTCTTTTGATGGTAAA